TACCAGAGCGTGTTTATGTGCTCACTTTCGCACTCCGCTTACAGAAGTCTACGGAACAGTTCAGGACTTTTTGCTGCTCTTCGTCGACTTTTTCCTCGCTCTGATTTTTCCTCAGATAGATTGTATTGCCAACACAAGAAAACAACCAGCCTAGTTACCGCTTTTTCAGCACGATCAAACAGTTGTTTTATCGACAGTATATATATTTTGTGCAATTCATGAAATGAAGTGCCTACCACAACTCAGCTTTTTGCATCACATTATGTAGAGCAAGGTCCCACCTCAAAGGCTGTGACCAAGCAAATTTAGACACATACTCATAAAAAGGCACTATCTAAGCGATTCGAATGCATTTATGGCCGAGAAATTCATCTCCAAGCACAAGCGCTTGCACCGTGACTTTGGACCGCAAATCACTTTGCTACGTACGTAGCGTTCGCTGGCACCTATCGTTATCACTCGCTTACGATCATGGCGTATGCGCAGTTTCCGGATGGATTTTTCAGCGGTAGATGGCCATTTGCCCTGATGCTTGGGTACTGCCTTAGTTGTTACTCCCTAATCAAGTTCTACGCAAGAACCCCAGTGCCTGAGTATTGCCTCTAAAGGCAGTGTTCGGGGAAGAACTCAATATCCAGCCTTTCCGCTCGGCCTACCTTGGTGATCGCACCAGAAACACTTGAATCACCCTGAGAGACTTCATAAAAAAACTTCGATATCTGAACATCGCGTCCGCGGTCTTCCTCGTTTTCTTTTGACGAGCAGTATCCAATTTGTTACTGCTCTCACCAACCGGTTGTCGTTAGAACGCATTGTGTCCCAATCTTATCTTGTTCTGCTTGGCATGTGCAGCAGCGTCCCTGATCTTCAATCGTTGACATAAGGTAGAACTCCGCATTCCTCCTCACTTACTAAGTTGGTGCACTCCTAACATCACACTCTCAGCAGCACGTTCGATGACGCTAAGCGCGTGTTCTTCTCACTTCCCATAGTCCACATATCTAGAGCGTACGTCGCAAGAGATTCTATAGAGTTGAAAAGGTGGACGCAACGCCGGATGTTCTTGGTCTTCTTCACTACGTCCTCAATTGTTTTATTTGCTCCCCATGCTGTACCATTCCTGCTCGGTTCGGAGCTAAATCGTTCATTTCATTGATTTGCTGACCTAGATGGGTGTAGCTTGAGCATGAAAGGAGGGCTGTAGTTTCGTGGAGCATGAAAAGAGCATCAGGCATTCTTCCGTTTTTCATGAACATCGTCTAATTCAGCTGTAGACCATCGCTCCACACACTCGTCAGACTGAGCCAGCTAGTTTCGGCGCTGTACTATCACATTGATGATGATGTCTCCTGAATGGTGTGATGCTGGTCGTGAAGTCGTTATACAATTCTCAAATTATCTTGTTGTGTTGAATAGCGATACCTCGATTGCTCAAGGCATCGGTGATGGCTCCGGCTTTCAACTGAGTCAACCTTCGAATCAGTGAAGGTATTACAAACGGCATCCTGTACCCTCGTGACATTTCAATGGCCTTGACACCATGTGTTGTGGTCTATCGTGCTGAATCCTCTTCGAAACCCGGCTTGTCGCACACTTGTCTTTCCAAATTTTCTTACGACTCGCGTGAGTTTGTGAACTGCAGACAAGGCAGATAGGGCGATAGTTGTCGATGTCGCGGAGATCTCCTTTCTTGCACAGCAACACGGTCTTGCTGGTCTTCCATTGTGAGAAACCTTGCCTTTCGTCATGTACCAAGCGAAGAGCTGCCAAGGCCTTGATAAGGACTGGCAAAAGACTTTTCACACGTTCTGGCTTGATACTGTCAGGACCGGATGCTGTACCATTTTTGACGTGTCAGCACGATAATTCTCGAAAAGAAGGACAGACGGATCACTCATCCTCCCTAAAATGACTTCGCAGGTAGACATGGCTGTCAAAGAAAGTAGAAATCGTGGATGATCAAGGCCATTGATCTTCGGGAAGCAGTAATGGTTCCATTAAGACGACGAACTGCGGTCATCTCTGCCTTGAAATTGACGAAGCTTCGGCGGGTGTTGCATGCACTTCTTCCAGTCTCTGCTACGTTAATTATCACTGTTACTCTTCTATCCTTGAGGTCTCCTTTTACCGCTTCTCTGCATCGGACGTCAGTCGGTAATTTCTTGTGGTTCATGCGTGTCCGTTGGCGTATCAGCTCCAAAGCCTCCAGGGTGAGACGCCTTTCATACTTCGTAGACTCTGAACCTTCTTAGTACAATCATGGATGCTGAGCCCGTTCGTGTTCTTCGTAGATGTTGTCGATCACCGTCATAAGTATATCGAAACGTACGTTGGG